AGAGAGAGAGAGAGAGAGAGAGAGAGGCCAAAGCGTGTGTCGAGGCGCACACCTGTCGTGCAAGTCACCGCGCGGCGAGTTTTTCTCGCTCGTAAAAAGGCACGCAGATCCGCGCGCGAGTTTCTCGAGACGTTAAGAAGCGCGTTATTAATGATCTCGAAACCGTGCTCTACCTGCGAATGCGCTCGATGCGCTCTTGGCGCGATTATTAAAGATCGAGTTCCCGTCCGACGTGCGTCATAAACGACGGGACGGGGGAAGGAGGGGAATTGTGGATGACTTTGAACCGTCGTCAGAGGCGCGTGACCTATCGTGACTCCTCGTCGTGGAGTCGTGGTCGTCTTTCTTGTCGAAAGCGCGCTGGCATCTCCTCGGTGGCAACAAGCGAGGAGGAGATCTGAGCGGACTGAAGGGCCGACGAGAGGCGCGGCTTTGCAGCGTGACGGAGATGCGAAGTGTAAAAATTGTTGTAGAAATTGTGTTGCCGAGTCTCCACGCTTAGAATTCATTAGCGCTCCCGTGCGGGAATTTCTAAGCAAAATGGGCTACCAAAAATTTAGTTTCTCTTAATTTTCTTGAGTACGCTTTGAGCAACAGAACTGCGGATTGCGGCACAAACGTAGCACAATGCAGCACAGTTGGAAAAAAAAGATACAAAATTCGAGAAAAGGCGGGGCCAACTTTACACACGTCTAAAAGAATAGAACGCCTCAGCGGAGTAAATTCCGTTGCAGAACGGTGAATTTTCCGGTCAACAATAGATTTCGCTTTGTAAAGTGTAAAAATGATAATCTACAAAAATACACGAGACAGAAAGGTAAAAGTCAATTAAGGCGAAGTGTCGAAACGTTCCTTTACTCGATCGATAAGGATCGAGTAAGTTAGCGATTTTGCGCGCGCCAAGCAGAATCGCGCAAGCGAGGGTCGGATTGCGACGGTCGCGCCGTCGCGAAGTGTTCGCGAATCGCGTCTCGAAATTCCAGCCGACCATCAGCTCGTGCGCTCTGCGACGTCAGTTCGCACTTTGCAAAAATGTCCTGCCATCCGTCAGCTCGTCGTATTACGCGAGTGTTCGCGAAAGTGGCCGGCCGGAAACGTCGCGACAACGCCGTTTAACGCCGTTTTCGCATTATTCGCCCGCCGGTTCAGTGTCGATTTTCCCGCCGAGATTTGCGATCGACGACTGCACGCAACTTTCCCACGAAGCTGCCGGATCACGGCTTTGCGTAAGTGGGAACCTTCGAAAACAGCTGTCCGGCCAACACGGTCGTTTTCACTTCCGCGATTGCATCACGCATGAGCGGCACGAATCGTCGAGCAGTCTGTCTCGCGTTGGACACAGCAGAGAGGAAAGAGGATAATCCATATTTTCAGCCCTCCGTATTTCCGTCCCTCTATGATCCGAGATCCGGGGAATCGCAAGGAACGATTGATTGTTTCCGTTTCAGGTAACAATGCGGAGAAAAACTAAGATAAAACACTTGCACTTACTCAAGGCGCTTGCACTTGCTCAGGACGAAGACGCTTGCGTAGGCCGAGAGAGGAAGAGAGAAGGAAACGACGAAGTACTCGACACTCGAAGTGACGCAAACGACCGTGCGCTTGCGGACGCGATCCGGCGATTGTTCGAGAGCTCGGCGGCGACGCGGCGCCGAGGAAAATACGTCGCGGAAAAGTCGCATTCGACGTCGGACGAGTCGCGCACGCGACGCGGCTAAACAATTCCGTTGAATTCGCCGGCGATGTTGCGCGAAGTAGTACGGGACAAACGCAATAATTAAGCGCATTCAGTCCGTCCAGTTGTCATTGTCGCGACGGGTCATAGGTCAGTGAGCGCGCGCACGTCCGCGCAGACGACTGCGCGCTTTTACGAACGGAAGAATTCCCCCTTTCTCCTCTCTTCCCTCCGTGCCTACGTCCCTCCCTCCCTCCCTCTCTCTCTCTCTGTCTGTTTAGTCTCGTCGCTCTTAATTCGTTCTTGTGCTGTGTGTTTTCTTCTTTCATCTCTTTTCTAAGTATTTTCTTATATTTCTGTAATCTGCAACTTTTGTTCTCGATGCAGCGCTCTTGAAAGGCTAAGGTAAACGTCCCAAAATCCGACCACTTTGAAAAGAAATATTTATTACTTATTTTAATAATAACGAACGAAAGTAATAATTATTGTAAAAAAAAAAAAACTCCAATATTTGACGATTAGTGGGGGAAAAATATGTCCCATTTTATATTAAAATAAAGATTAATTAAATAAGTATGCACCCCTAGGGTTTGGCAAAATAATGGTCAATCGTTAATAAATTCATCTTAAGAGATAGCATCTATATTTCTATTATTTCCCGTTCCCCACATGCTAATTTTCTAATTGCGATCGGACACTGGAATAAATGATATCCGAACATTGGACCGTAAACCTATTTCAATTGTCCGCTCACTGGTACATTAATGCGCTTCATTACTCGTATAAATATTTCATCAATAATACATGAGTTTAAATCATTTTTCTCTACTTAAGGAAATTTTAAGTTTTCGAATAAATGCAAATATTTATATCAAAACTATTCTTAATATTATATATTGTACTTTTCGTGACGACCTACGCTTAAACGTCTGGCTTAAACTGGGACATTTACTTTAACCTTTGAACGATGAGAAATGAATCTATCTTCCTTCCTCCTCTCTCTTTCTAACTGCCTCTCGAGCCGCGCGCCTGCTGCTTTCCGCAGCATTCGATGTTGCGACGGCTTTGAACCGAGCTGTATTACAATTATAACGCTCTATTACAATTTTAACGCCTTTCTACTTTCTTCTTTTGGTTATCATATTGTAGTGTAGTTTCCTCCTCCCCTTCACTCGATAGCCGTTGTGTTTAAGTCGCGCTCGAGGGGGAGTTCTCCCGGAGCGCGGAAGAGATATATCCACCCGTCCGTCTATATTTTCCTCCTTCGCCCTCGCGTTTCGTCTGAGCGGCGTCGGCGTCGGCGTCGGCGTCGGCGGCAAAGAGATCCACGCTCGGAATTCGCGGTCTACTTCGCAGCAGCATTTCCGCCGCTGGCGGCTAAAATCCGCGCGCGGCGCGCCTCGGCTTAAAGGTCGAGCCCGCCGCTCGGGCGAGCCATTCAGCTATTTTCATTCAATTTGAGAAGTTTACGTTGGAGAGCCTCCAGGCGCGCACGCGGAGCCGGCACACGTGACTTTGATGTATCGCTTTCTCTCTCGCGCGCGTTACTGCCACAGCCTTCCGAGCGACTTACGTCGTATAATTAAATCGCACGGCCGCGGCTACTCCGCCGTCGGGCCGGCGACGCGAGAAGAGCGACGGGATTTCCGAGCGAGCGCGACGGACGCGACGGCCGGATACGCGGCCGGCTCGCACATTGTACGTGTCGTGTAAACCTCTCGCCAGTGCTTTGTTAGCCGCGCGTCTTTGTGCGGCCGAGACGCTCCGAGAGTATTCCCAGGCTGACTGCGAGAGCGCGCTCGACACGTGCGGCTTTTCGCGCACAGCCGCGTTTTCGACGAGGCCGGAACAGTTAATCTCCGAAAGAAAAATCGAAAATCGTTCGCGATAATCGAGGGGAACGCGAGATGATACGAGATTCCCTATAAATCCGCCGGCTGCTGATAACGTGCTCCATCGTAGCTCCCTCCTCCTCCCCTCCGCACGATTATTTATCAATTCCGCTTTTAATCGCGATTTCTCAGCCCTTGAAATGCGGGGTGCTTCGGGGCTGAACGTCGAAATGTCGGCTCGTCTAAGTGAGTAATTTTGGATCTCTCGGGTCAAATTACGTATTCGGATCAATAAACAACGATGGTATTTGATTTTCATGTCGTTGTAATTTTACGAAACAACGAGGGACCGCGAAAGATCTCACTGGTCGAAGCGCGGCGCGTGTTGTTTCGTGAAATTATAACGTGAAAATATCACTCGACCCGAGGAATCCGAAATTACCCATTGCGCAATTTGAAGCTGCTGATGCTTTTCGCTGAGCCGAGATATTTGTAGCCGCAAGTCAATCGGCGGACGAAACAATTTTCCGAAATATTGACACCGAGACAGATTAAATTTTACCGTCGCCAAAACACGTGAAAGGGAACACGGATACAAATCAACGGATCAACGGATAATCGGTCGACAATATAAGCCGACGGATGCGAGCCGCAGCCGAAAGATCAAAGGAGCGAATGGAAATTGGATAGAGCGAGGAAGAGGGAAATCGGGACGCGCGACGCGCGGAAATTCAATCGGCCGGTGGTCGTCGATCGCGCGTTTCATTTACGCACGGGGATTACGATGCAAAACGTCCGGCTGTTTCCGGAAAACGCCGGACGTTGGCGTCACGACAGATGGACGCCGCTTTCCGCGCTTTCCGCGCGGAGAGCGTCCCACGCTATCAATCTGCGCGCTAATGCCACTCGAGATAAAAACATTTGCACAGTCTGCACTTCCACTCGTGTGCACTCACGTTGCACTCGGTCTATCGTAAAATGAGACTCGCGTGTCGTCGTAACAAGCTCTGCGTAATAATAGACAGCCTTCTCTGCGGAAAGAGGGAGAGACGGAGAGAGGGAGAGAGAGAGGGCGCGCAACTCACTCGCATTCTGTGATACCGTCGACTACAGTCGATTACAGTTGATTACATTTTGGCGATTTACTCGCGCGACGTCTCGTGCGAGAAGTCTTCGCGACTCGGCGCTCGCCCTCGCAGCCCGAGTTGGCGAACGCTGGCTTGAGCAAATTTCTGTCATCCTGCGGATGATACGTCGAAGGATCAACAGGGATTATCTCGGAGACACCGATTCAGACTTCGAGTGTGACATTTACGACGAAACGGCACGTTTGTCACGTTTAGTCGCGCATCGACGGACATACACGTTCATACCAATCATACACACATACGTACGCGCGCGCGCCACACACACACACACACACACACACACATACAAGTTCATACTTGATGCCACAGGCGAGCACATCGAAATTAGGTGATGATGCAACTTACCTGTACTGATCGGTAAATATCCTGAAAATAAGAATTCGTGTTTATTCGACGACGTTCAACTATGGTCAGCATGCGGTTAAGTTATATTTACGTGTAAGACTCGCAAAACGGGGGTTAAATCGACTACAATCACGCGCGCGCCGCGACGCGCGTAGGAGGAGGCACACGAAGAAAAACTTCGCCAAGCATGGTAAAACGCCAAAGCGTAAATGCCAGTAAATATTGCGATGTGCTCGAAATTTCGATTATCCCGGGCGAAGAAGGAACGGCGGCGTTCTCACGATCAACGGACGTGTTGTTCTTCTCTGACTTTTCACCTTCGGCTCGCGGAAAGCGACTCGACAGTGCAGACTCGATCGCGCCGCAGTTTCGATTGTCCGATCCTACGTTCTCTAATCAACAGTACAGCTACGTTTACGGAGTAGATCACAAGCGATATCGCAGTTTGCGGAAGCACGAGATTTGCGTGATCTTATGCTAAAGCTGTACGTGTACGTGTGTGTGTGCGCGTGCGTGTGCGCGCGTATGTGTGCACGTGAGATCGATGCGATCTCGCGCCAGAGTTTCTTCAGTCGCTCTTCCACCGCCGTTAATGGGCGAGTAACCAGGAAAGTACGAGAAAGGGTGACGTAATAAAAAAGAAAAAAAAAAAAAAAAGACAAATAACAAACAGAGAGATCAAATCCCGACGAACAATGGTGATGCTCACAAGTGCGGATGCGTCGCCGTTGCGATCCCGTTGCTCCTCTCTAATTTAATCCGCCATCGTTTAATCGCGAGACAATTTATCTGAAACTTCTCAACGATAAGCGTAGAGAAGTGACTGATTTTAGTGTCTATCGGCCTCATCAATATCGCTCCAAACCGCATAATTCACGTATCCTCTCTTCTTTTATTTTTACTTCTTCTTTTTCAAATAGTTATCCCGAATGACGTCTCGCCAAGTAACGCGAGCGGTCGCGTTGGCGCACCGCGTGCGCCGCGACGGAACAACGTCCGTGAGAGCTATCATCCTTGGATAAATGTCGTACACAGATCGATCGCGCCGCAAAATTCGCCGTAAAAGAGAGAAAGAGAGAGAGAGAGAGAGAGAAAGAGGGCGAGGAACGACACGCGTCGCCCACACGGACTGAAACGCAGCGCGGCGCGATCGCGCTTGTGAGCGAGCGCACGTGAGGGACCAACATCGATTCATTTGAGCGGCAGGTGAGACTACGTCCGTGAGAATTTAACGGGACAGCATTATCCAAGTGTTAACGAGGACTCCATACACACACAAAGGTCGGACGACACGGTCGGTGTGTCACACATGCACGTGGCAGGGTATTGCTCGCGTCGACGCCAAAGAGTTCCGCGCGCGCGCGCGCCTGACGATTAATTTCGGTAATGCACGGCGGTAATCCGGCGAGCTGCTCGAACGGCGGCTTGTTAGTGTGAGGGTTCTAAGTGTGAAGTAAAACGAGAGGAGTTAAGTATAATAGGATCGAGTACATACGCTCGCTCGACAGGAAGCTCTGTCTCTTTGAACCTGTAACCCAAGGATCACATACATCACATATCGTCACATCCCGACACCCATTAGCGACGACAAGACACTCAGGCCCAGGCGGAAGGATGATGCTTCCCTGAGCTCCGCACCGCCGTGCGGGAGGAAACGCGAGGGTAATCGAACCATGACAGGGAACCGCGACTCGCCGAGACTCGACGCGGAAAGAGCAGCCGCTCGAGTCTCTCGAGTTCGAGGAAGAAGCAAATCGGGGGCTCATTTGTCTTAATTGGCCCCAATCGATCCCTGGAAATAATTATTCTCCCAACGAAAGCATCATCCCGCCGTGGGCAGAATCGGAAGTGTGCACGCAACATAATGATACGAGTGTGACACGAGAAAAATCAATGTTATAAGCTCCACCGCTACCCAGAGAAGGGGAGAGAGAGAGGAGAGAGAGAGAGAGAGAGAGAGAGAGAGGGGGGGAGAGGGGAGGAGGCGCTAAGAGAGCTACGCAAAATCGCGAGGACGAGTGACGGATTACTCGCGTTCGGTTATCGAGCAAAAAATAACAGCGGCATCACAATGCTCTCGGGGATGGAGCGCGTTTCCAAAGCCCTTCGAAGAAAAAGAATAAAAAATAATAAGAGAAGTAAAATAAAAAAGAAATAAAGAAAGAGATAAAAAATCCGATCGTCAGGTGGATTTTTATCTCCGGTGTCGCCGCGGCCGGTGGCAGTCGCGTGTCACACACGGCCGAGTACGTTCCGTATCGACGATTTTCGCGCTCGCAAATAGCCGGAGCTTCAAGTATCGACCAGCCGTTCGCGCGTTGACCGTCCGAGACGTTCGCCGTTATTATTACCCGGGAAAATGCTCGCGCTATCTTGCCGCGGTAAACGCGTGCTCACGCGGAGCGCGTATCAGCGGGGTCCCTCCCGTTATCCATTTTATCGGCCTCAGCTTTCGCCCTGAAGCCAGCTCGACACCGACGAAGAGGCACCTGCATTACCGATACACGTTCTCCTCGTCGCCGCGAAACCGTTCGCGCTCCGCGACGTCTCTCCCGAACGATAACCGCGGACGAGCGCACCCGGACGATCAGCAGCAGCAGCGTGTGTCGTCTTCTCTCGCCGTGCGTTATCATCCGACAATTGGAGCGACGTGAACATCGTCACTTGACCTTACAACCGAGGCTCTCGGGTATAACGCCATTGTACAGTTGCAGGAGAGAGGTGCGGTGTCGTATTTACGCATGCATGAAGAACCCCGCGAATCGTGTGTGTGTGTGTGTGTATGTTGCCATTGTCGTGTCGATGATGAAGACGCCGACGAGATAAGAATGAAGACCGTCTCATGAGTGATTTGACGAAGACGGAAAGTTGCGACATTTAATTGCATCTTTGAACTTTGAATCGAATTTTGTGTCAAATCACAGCGTGGCCAAACTGTTGACACACGCAGAGACATCTAATGTACCTCATTGCAAGTCTGTATCGTCGATAAAAGACATCGAGGTAGTTGCGAATTATAAATTATTAAGAATATCTACAAATAATCAAGTATTTCAGCACATTCGAAACACATTCGAAAGGCACAAAGCTTTTCTTAATCAGTAAGATAATATAAACGAGGGATATATCAGTCTGAAAAAATATATTTAAAATATCGAGGTCGTCGAGGTAATTGCAAATTATAAATCAGCATTAAAGATATTTATAAGCGATCAAATATTTCAAGATAAAACACAGGGGGGAGATATATTTTGCCGCAAAAAATACATTTAAAAGATTTGAAATAAGATTATTTGAAATGAAATATTTGAGATAAAATATTTGAAATAAAATACGCTCGAATGGAGATCTGATATGAACAAGAATAAGGGTCTCGCAAATACTTGATTATTTATTATATATCCCTAATATGTACCAGATTTTCAAATTTTTATATCGAATGACTGACAAACACGATCCTTCTCCAATCATCTTCGGACTTCTCCATACGCTTCTTCGGCGCAGATTTTCACCTGACGGTCTTCAACGGTACCTCGCCGGCGCCGAAGCGAACGACTGGTGTGATCGCAGATCGATACGATTCGCTCTGCGACTCGAGCGAGTGAACAAACACACATTCGTGCGGAATCATATCGGCGACACTTGCGCGAACGTTGCTTCGACTTTCGCGACTTCGCGTCTCGTTCAAATACTCAAAACTCACCGCGCGCGCGAGTGCGGGCCGTCGTTGAAAGACGGCGGGAAAATAAATGATGGAGCCGGGCATGTTCCGTTTGATTAATGCATCCGTTTGCAAGCGCGTCGTCAGAGCGCGGAATGATAAATGTCATTAGGCGCGCTACGTGATAAATAAATAAATAACCGAGACATCATAAATCGTGGCGCGGCGCGCGGCTCGATTTCAGACCCGTGAAAGCCGATAAATCCTCCTCCGGCCGACTCGCTCGCTCGCGTCATTGAGGAAAATGGCGTTACTGACTCTCTTTTCCCAGGCTCTCCGCGTCGAAGCAACCTCCGCGCCGGGGCTACCACCTTCGCTATCTCGCGCTCGTGTCGCTCGCTCGCAGCTCGTAAGCCCCGATTTACTGATAATCGATTTATAACGCCCGGTCGTGCCGTCGTCGCGAGGGAGATATCGATCTGCCGGGAAAGGTGTTACGGGCGGCCTGCTCACCTTTCACTGGCGATGGAGCTGTTCCGAGACATCGACTTCGGCGACATCTCGAAATCGCTGTCACTCCGGTATAAGAAGCTCTCCCTCCGCTGGGGCAGCGTCTGGAGAACGAGCCCCGCGCTCGGTGAGGCGCCGCCTCCGCCCCCGGCGCCGCCGTCCAAAGTCGAGGCGCCATTCTCCACGTCGAAGCTGCAACGAGAAATGTTCTCATTGGGAGATCTCGTCATTGGAAAGAGCGGATTATGGGGAAAGCGACCGCCTTGGAAAAATCGAGCGCTCGCACCAGAGCTTCCTCCCCCCCTCCCTCCCTCCCTCCCTCTTACTCTCGTCCTGCCGGCTGGAAAGTGTCTCCCAGTGGATGCACTCTGCGAAGAGCAGCACCACGTCGCTGATCTCTTTACGTCAGTGCACTTGGGACGTGACGTCAGAGCGAGGGAGAGGGAGAGAGTGAGAGAGAGGGAGAGGGAGAGAGAGAGAGAGGCACGAGGAACTCTGCGGACTGAGGACTTTAATGACCGTTCGCTCGCGAGCGATCCTCGATCGACGGCTCGATATCGCGATCTCGGAGAGATCGCCACGCGGAAACACGGGGAACCCTCGGCTTCTCGCGGCTCGTCGCTTAAAGCGACGCGTTCGAAAGAACGGAGCGGAGAACTCGTTATGCAGGCTGCCGCTCTTTTCGTACATGATGAATGGAATTGAAATATATTATTGATCACGCGGAACCTTTATGAATTTCTGCTTCTAGTCCACAAACGGGCACGGTGAGCAGAAATGAGGGGAATTGATTGGCTGCCTTGCTCCTCGGGAAGAGCGAGGGGAATTTCCTTCGCCCTCGCGGGAGTGGGTGAGTGAGTGAGCGAGCGAAGTGTTTTGTTGAGCGTCGATCTAACGCCCGTTTCTGCTGCAACCGGCTGGTTACTCCAACAGGATTGACCAGTCGCATCTGTCGTTAATCGGTATTGACGAACACGGGAATAATCAGCCGGTTCAATCGATCACAGTTGGTAGGAATGGGAATTAGAGAGAGAGAGAGAGAGAGAGAGAGAGAGAGAGAGAACGAGTCCTCTCTCTGAATTATACAGTATAATTCGTACGAAGAAAGAGTAACTCGGTTAGTGCAACTGAATCTTCAGTCGTGGATCAGGAGAGAACTCGACTGTACAAGCAGCAAGATCTCTCCGCAGGAGACCCGTTTCTACTCATTGTCAGCCAATTGCTCTCAGTTGTCTCAATGGAGCTGTAATGCAGCTTGACGTCCGCACGCGAGAGTGTTTCGGTGTGTCGCGGTGTGTAGAGGAAAATTTATTTCTCGTCGCTGAATCTTCGTCTGGTCTCCCCCATTCGATCGCATACAAACTGAGATTTGGCGAAATTCGTTTCGGCCTCATACGATATTCAGGCGAACGAGCGCCAAACGTAAGAACTTGTATGCGAAAATCATCTGTCAAGATAAATCAAAGCCGTTTTGCGCATCCCCAAACGTCTCGGTCTGTTCAGTGTAAAAACATGAAGCAAGCATACAGAGTGTAGCAGATTACCCGTTAACCCCGATTTTTTTGTAAGTGCAACGTTTTAGAAAGAAAATGTTTTAGACAAGAGTTGTATGGGGAGTCCAAGGGGGACATAAAACAATTATATCAGTTTGTTTACAGACGGCGTCACTTTCGAGATATTCACTGATCATTTCACTTTTCTTTTAAATGGAAACACCAATTTTTTATTATATCATCTTTTTCTACCGATTAATTTGAACAACTTCTTTTTATCTGAAACATCTTTTTATTTGCCTAATATTTTTTGAGATATTTAAGGAAAACTTGGCAACTTTTTTTTAATATTTAACTTACGATATCTCGCTGACTGCTTGTCGGAGGAGAAAGCGGTAGACTAGACCTTTTTACTCTACTCTTTTTACTCTACTTGGTCTCAAGAATATATTGTTACAATAGCGCCCTGACTTCTGTTAATTTGATGACTTTGGAATCTCCAAAAATCGATAAGTAAATTATCGATGCAAATTCCGACGTCGCAAAGTAATAAGTAAGCTTTGAAGCTTTAATTTGTTGATCTGTAATGGATAATTTTCTCGCACACAAGTACTTGCGCGCTCCTGTATCGATCTCTAATACTTATTTCATCAAGCCAAGCTCTTCTCCATGTTTACATGTACACCTAATTATAGTAATTAAATTAATTATATTAATAACCGCGATGAAACAAATTTTCACGATGTGTCATACGTCACCGCCGCAATTGACGAGAGGGAAAAAGTACAGCAAGACATCGCCGGGAAAGCGAATCACGCGTGTGCCACGGATATTTATTTTCGCAGTATTTCTATTTCTTCTTCCTTCAACTTGCAACGCAAGTCTATTTCGGTCCGGCCGTTACTGCCGCGCACGCGACGTTTCTTTTCTATATCGCCAAGTATTATTCCGTCCTTCCGGTGCTCCCGAGTTTCGTCGCTGTGCTCTTACTCGCATCGCGCGGCCACCGCTTTTGTACTACTCCTGTCATCATCCGCGCGACCGAAGCGCGCGCGCGCTTCTGCCTGAGAGGTGAGATTATCCCGATCGAAAACTAGACTGCTGTGTTTAGCTTCCGACGGGATTCACATCGAAAACAACCGTTCGAGGTCTTCGACCATGCAGACGCGGCTCGGACAGACGGAAATAGACGCGCTGGAAGCCACCAAGAAACGTAAGTGGAATGACGCTTTGACGAAAATAAATATCCGAAATACGCACGATTCTCGTTTCGCAACGCGCGCGGCGCCCGAGTAAAACGCGCTATTTTCCAACGTCCTGGAAACAATGCCGCGCACGGTTCGCGGAAACGGACCCCCCCCGGCTTCTCGTCGGGCTGATTAATAAGGTCTACGGTGCACGCGAAAGCGTAAGCAGTTCGACACCGGCAATAAGCAAACTCGCCGACTACAGTCGATTATTCCTGGACCGTGAAGAGAACGATGGTTGACTATGGTTGGCTGATTTGCTCATTGTTTACCTCCCACTGCTTACTGCTTTTTGTCTGTGTGTCATGAGCTCGAGTCTCGATTCGGGTCACCGACGTGAGAATAGCTAGATGGAGTGTGCGCGCAGTCGGCTGATTAAAGGCTGCAATATTTCTCTTCGGCGAGTTTTGCAACGCATCCGAGAGAAAAATGAATTTCTTTTGAGAGTCGAGGAAAAGCAAATTTTTCTGTTAGATACGGAATGCATCGCGAAACTCGCGTCGGAAACGGTATTGCAACTTTTCAATCGATCGACTGTATTGTTAATTTTAGGCAAGAAGAAGGTACGTCAATTTTGAGCTGAAGAGGAAGTTACCGTACTCGTTTTGTCCTTTTTACGCTTTGGCTCTTTAGTTTAACAATTGTTACGACATACGGGACAATGAGAGTCAAATTGTCGGTCTTTCTCGGTGATAAGATCTGTATATTTATCCTAATGTTATTTAATTCTTATTATTATATATATTACATATATTATATACAATTTATTATTATACATATTATTATATATATATATATATATGTGTGTATATTATATATATTATTATATGTAAATATATTCATTATGATTAAAATTATAATAATATCAGATAGATATAACAATAAACTATCGGATTTTTACTATCGCCCGTTTAGATTTTTACACTAACGCCTACACGCCTATAATAAATATTTTCACGCCGAAAGAAGCAGACGACTGGGCTCGTATTATCCGTCATATGGCAATTATTGTATTTACTTGGTAAATGCACAATAGCGGGCTCGCTATTCTTGGTCGGCTTCGAAATGCGTCCGTCTTGTCTGAGGGAGGAATTTCTTCGTCATTGTGGAAGAAGTCCCGTTGAAGAAGCCGGATGATGCATTTTGAAGCTCACGCAAAAAGCGACAGAGGTAATTCTTCCGCCCGCGCTGCTTTTTACGTCTCACGACACATCGACAAGTCCACCGTAAATCGCCGCGGCAAATCCTGCCAGGGACGTTACTCAAGTGCCCGCGAATGTCACAATTCCAACCGCGAGTTGCCGCAAAGGTAAATGCATCCAAGAGAATTGCGACGAGAAAATCCGGAGGAGCACCGCGGCCTTCCCTTGCCGCTTAATCACCGCTCGCGGGTAGAATGTGCCGTCCAGATATTTTCCGATATTGATAATTCAGGTGAACTGTAATATCCGCTGAATCAGCAGCGACCGCTGATGGTCGACGCGGCATGACGGCCGCGAAGATTCATCGCCGCACGGTCTCGATCGGCGAAGAAGAGGCGCGAAAACGGGCGCAAGCGGGATCCTCCTCGTTACGCTAACGACGCGCCTGGAGGCGGCGCGTCTCCTCCTCTGGCGACGCCGGGAGGCTGCTGTACCCTGTTTCGGGCTCGTGTTGCGTCAAATATATCTAATTAAGGCTCGGGGGAATGCCGGCCAGCTCGACGAGCGGAAAATTCGTCACGCCGGCTGCTGCTCGTTACGGCGTTACCCCTCGCTTTAGCGCGCGCCGATAACGCGCCCGCGCGTGTCACTTTTCGAGATGACACTCACGCGTCTCGGAGGAGGATAACTCGCGCCGAACCTCCACATCGCGCTCATCTCTCCATCGGGCGATCTCGAGCGCTGAGCGGTGCGCCGAGGGTGAAAATTGGAAACTCGTCGGGTCGGTCGATAGAAAATCCGCTCGAAATTGCGTCGGAATCAAGTTGAGATCACGCAGGGGGTAGCGATCGATTTGACGTTTCGAAGATTTCATCGCGATATCTGGGAGATTTTTTGTAGATGTCGACGATTTAGCCGGCGACTTCTTGGGTGACTTCTTCCACATAGAGAGAGAGAGAGAGAGAGAGAAATGTTTGGTCGGACGAACCAATTTTCCGGTGAAATATCAACGGTTCAGAAACCACAATTGAAAATTGCGGAATTCTGTTGCGGTTAATCATAAATATTGATAAATTAGAGCGAATTCCGACAACTTCAAGCGACGTTTCTGTATCATTTATATTTCACCGGAAAATTGTCTCATTCAACCAAACATTTTTCTTCGTGTAGATGTCAAGTCGACATACAGACATACAACCGACGAAATGTCACGCGAATGAGATATCGACGGAGAATTGAGTCTTTGTCCAACCGAACGATCCGAAAAATCACCGCCGATATCGATCATCGACCTGCAAACCCGGGAACGA